AAAAAAAAAAAAAAAAAAAAAAAAAAAAAAAAAAAAAAAAAAAAACATCATAGTTTTGGAAGACATAGCCAAATCAAATGGGTCGACCTAGTTCATCAATTCGATAACTATTCTACGCACCCGGTTAAGTAATAGAGGACGTTTGTAGTGCAAATTCAACGTTTTATACTTAGAAATGTTAAACTCGAGTACGTAAGTAGAAATCTTAGGAAGCATCTAAGTCTAGTGCTTAAAAATTTTATAGGACAAACATGAGTTTGACGTCTTATACGAAACTCACTCTAATTCAAACGTTCACTCCAAATACAGAACGAAATTTGAACCCGTTCCCCAAAAATCCCTTTATTCTCATTTCTCATTGCCATCAAAATCAAAGAACTAAACAACGAAATGATGTAAAGCAATGGAGAAAGAAAGAAGAATTTAGAAGAAGAATTTGGGGAAGAAAAATAAAAAAAGAAAGGATTTTTTTTTCTTTTTTTAATTGCACCCATTTTCCCTTTCCTTATTTTATTCTATTTTGTATATCTTTCTTTTTTTTTTTTAATTAAAAAAATTCAAATAAATCTCTCTTCCTTCTTTTTATCTTTTCTTTACTTCTAACCATATACCATTAACCATCCTTTTTGACTTCATGTATCACATTTCTCTATCACCCAACAACATCTTGTCTTTTCAAAATTAAACACCCTCACATATTTTTATCTCGGCTGATATCGAATCCATTCTGATTCAATATAGTAGTAGTGATGGTCGAGTATCGAATCAATGAGTACAGACATATCTTTTGAATGCAACTCTCGTCATTTTGTTGTTCTACCTCAGGAGACCATTGTTTATTTGTAAATAACATGATTTTTGTTTGGAATTAGAACATGATCATATGTATTGATCATAAGTGAAAAATATCTTAAAGTTATAAGCAAAGAAGACATTTTCATTAGAATTGCGAGATCCCACATCGTGAGGCTTATGACGATACGTAACAGGGCAAGACGGACAATATTTGCTAGTGGTAGGCTTGGGCTGTTACAAATGGTATCAAAGTCAGACACCAAACAGTGTGTCAGCGAGAACGTTGGACCGTCAAGAGGGGTCAATTGTGAGAGGAGAACGAAGCATGAGTGTGAAAATCTCTACATAATAGACACATTTCAAAATGGTGAAACTGACGATATGTAACCAAATAAACCAGACAATATCTGTCAGCGATGGACTTAGACACGCATCCACGATGAAGTTTAAGGTTTAAAAAGTCAATTTTAGGGTTAAATAAAAACTTTTGGACGGTTATCTCATAAAAGAAGTATGGTTGAAAAAAGAGTAACATAATTGATTAGATATAAGAATATAATATTAAATTAATTGTTCTTTTTACCGCTTTAAAAAACATTATATCACATGGCAATTAGGAGAATTTAGACGTATGACTTCCCAAATAAAGTAGCGACGCCTTTAATCATGAATTATACTTATGTTGGCAGAATCATATGAATTATAAATAACAAAAATCTTTGATGTATAAAAAGTACATCTCGTCTATATTAAAGTAAGATCGAGAGATATGAAAATTATTATTGTCAGAAAAAATAAAAAATAAAAAATTAAAATTTTAAACTTTTTAAATAAAATATTTATAATTTTATTGTATAAGATTTGTTTAAATACAAAAATTAATGTAATAGTTAAAAATGAATATAATTAATTATATATATATATATATATATAATATACGGGGAACAATAGGTATATGGGTGAAAAATAAAGGAACGTTGACTGCAGCCATAACGAGGTGGCAAAGTTTGACCAGAATCACATAAAAGTGGGGACCACATTTACAAATCACGCCTGTTCATGATGAGATCTGCACCGTTGGATCATCATCCTTTAGTCCCTTTCTTCTTCAAATTGTAAAGTCATAGATTATCAAATTTAATGATTTAATTAAGAATTACGGTGTGGACCAAAAGTTGCGGCTTTATAATTACCGCCGGCACCGGCGACGGAGGGAAAACTTTGAGATTATTATTTTTTTTTTCTAAAAAAGTATTAAAAAAAAAATCAAATTTCCCCTCTCACACAAATTAAAAAAGAACCAGAAAATACAACATTTTGCAAATAAAAAGAAAATAGAAAAAACCAACTTTTGAATGCGTCGATTATTTATTGGCCTTTAGGAATTTATTTATTTATTTATTTATTTTACCTTTGGGGTGTTTTTTAAAATAAAAATAAAAATCGAGGGAGTTTTTTAAAATTGAGGAGTAAAAGGGCACGAAAATTGAAAAGAAAGAAAGGGTGGAGGTTAAAAATGCAAATTAAAGTTCATAAATAAAGAGAAGATCAAAGATGCCAGCATCTTGGAGGTTGCTTGAAACTCAAGATTTTGATTTTTTTTTTTTAAATAAAAAAATCTTATTTTATTTACATTTGACAGAAAAAAAAAAAAAAGTGATTTTGAATCATGATGTGCCACTCCCAACTATGATATATAATATTATCTCAATATTGATTTTATATATAAAGAAAAAAAAAATTAAGTTGAAATTTATGCTTTTTTTATTTTTTATTTTTTTATTTATTATGATTCTTCCCCTCTTAAAAATATTTGAATTTTTTTTTGTACAATTTTAAAAATTAAAATTAAAACTATTTATTTATTTTAAACTTGGTTTATTTTCAAATATTACATTATAAATATGTGAACGATCACTCGAACCTTTCGAACAAAAGAGAAATAAAAAAAAAATAAAAAAAGAGTTTTATCCGCCTCTTTATCTCGTATGAATCTTATAAAATAAATACATCTTTTAATGGAGGCAAAGATATTCCAAACAAAAATAAAATCTTTAATGGTTAAATTTCTCAATATTGTATTGAATACGGAAGCAAATACTTAAATTATGGTCGAGAGAGAGCATCCAACACAACCTAATTTAACCGTTAAAACATAATGTTTGAATCTCTAACACCCATATTGAACTAAAAACGAGTTTGGATAGAATGAACATATAGGATCCCGAGAAAACACAAGAATGTTAACTACTTCTTTTATCGAGATAAGATGTTTGAATCTCCAACTTCGGTATAGAACTAAAAACACAAATTTCAATAGAGTGAATGTATATGATCCCGAAAAAACTCGAGAGAGAGAAAGAGAGAGGGAACCAACGTGGGGTGTGCAGACTCGACTTTTGTATTTTGGTTGACAGTGACATGTCTTCTTTCTGTTAATTTCTGTAGCACCAAATGTTGTAAGTAAATGTGTTCCTGAAGCCATTATGTTCTAAAATGTTCTTCATTTTCCCTTTACATTTCTATGGATCCTTAACAACAATACCCATCCATCTTATCAGTTGCTGCTCTGTTCTAAAGAACAGAGCCACATATAAAACAAAAAGAAGAAGAACCCAGAAGAACATGAGATTGGTGGGCACGTGACATCCGTTGTGTGCAAGAATCTATCCTTTGCTTGTAGGAGGGGGAGGCCAGGAGGGTCCTACCCATTTTTGGGACCCCAACGCCGAGATGCTTTCTTTAACGACGACCCAAAAATTCTCACTACCATCCCCCTCAATTACACATCAGCACCATCTCATCCAATCATACCCCTCCATTCTGCCACCTTGGATTTCTTGATTTGCTTTACCCTTCCTTGTGGGGTACCACCACCCTACACACAGTCTTGGGATGGGACCCACTTTGACATCATATCTGCTAACGCACTCCCTCCCTTCCATCTCTTCAAATATACCCTTTTTTTCTTCCTTCTTATTCACATCCACTTCTTATAAACAGAGGAACTGAAACAGAGGAACAATGGAGTGACTGTGAAGTGAAGTTTTTGTTTGGCTGCTGGAAACATCTTTTTCTTTCTGATCTGTTCTTCATTCATATGGGTTTAACTTCTCTACAAGTCTGTATGGACTCCTCTGATTGGCTGCAGGTAAGAACATCAACCAATTCCCATGATTATCAGAACAGAGCAGAAAACAGAACAGAACAGAGCAAATGTCTCTGTTTTTTGTGACTGTTTTTTTTCTTTGGTTTCAGGGCACCATTAACGAGGAGTCTGGCATGGATTCTTCGTCGCTATCAGGGGACATGCTGTCATGTTCAAGGCCACTGACAGAGAGGAGGCTTAGACCCCCACATGATCAAGCACTGAAATGCCCAAGATGTGACTCAACCCACACCAAATTTTGCTACTACAACAATTACAGCCTTACCCAGCCGCGTTACTTTTGCAAGACATGTCGTAGGTACTGGACCAAAGGCGGCACTCTTCGTAACATCCCTGTCGGTGGTGGCTGTCGAAAGAACAAGAAAGTTGCCACTACTAAGAAATCCAATGACCCACAACACCAACAGCCACAAAATCAACAGCCCATCTCCCAAAATCACCACCAAGGCTCTTCTTCTTCTTCTGCCCATCACATTCACAACCCCACTGATCTCCATCTCTCATTTCCCGACCAAGTACAATTCCCTCATTTCAACCATCTCATTGGAACAACCCCAAGTTTCATGGACGCCAAATACACCATTGGAATGCTTGAAAGTCACCACCAGCATCACACTACTCGACCCATTGATTTCATGGACACCAAAATGGACGCCATTGTTGGGAATGCTCATTACCCTACAAACCCTGATCACTTAGCCATGGTTGGTGGGCTAGCTGGAGATCACATCGCCGCCGCCGGCCATACTCTGTCGCCGAGTTTCCATGGCCTTTGCTCCCCATATGGGCTGTCACTCGATGGGAACACCATAGGACAAGGACTGATGATTCCTTATGATCAGCATGAACCAAATGAGGAGCCAAATGCAATGGATGTGAAACCAAATACAAAGCTTCTGGCTTTGGAATGGCAAGATCAGGGATGTTCAGACAAAGTTGAATCGTATGGATACATAAATGGAATTGGGTCGTCTTGGAATGGGATGATGAATGGATATGGACCATCTACAACGAACCCATTGGTGTAAAATTTGATAGGGAAATGGTACACAAACCAAACGAAATCAACGACTATTTGCCTTGGTTACTATAAGGAGTGTCCAAATGTGGCTATCATAATTAGTGCCTTTTTCTTGCTATCAGTTCCTTCAAAAATGCGTCTGATTTTTGCTTTGGCCTTGGGATAGTGTCGCAAATCCAAGGCTCTCTCTTAGGATTTTCTTGTAATATTGAGGAACCTTATCTAGGGAGTGCTTTTGTGGTATAAACAAAAACAGGTGTGATTTGGTGCCTAATTATTATTGTTATTTAAGTGCTAATTATATTTAATTTGTTATGTCTAATAATTAATTAAGCTTGATAAAACACGAGCATCGAAGTTAATGTGAACTTAGCTCAACTCATATAAAACGGGCACTCTCGAATCTTCTAATGGTTATGCTATTAAACTCAACCTAAAAAAGAAAAAACATGCAACAAATATTCCTCCATTGTATTGGAAGCCTCATGCATGACTTTTGGCTGTAAAATTGGAGACATTTGTATGTAAGAATATAAGAATAAATTAAGAAAAAAAGACTTTTAAAAAATTAGTACAATATTATGTTTTTGAAGAATATAAGAATAAATGAAGGGAAAAAACGTTTCAATTTTTAAATTTATTATTATTTTTTCTTTCTATTTTCTAGAATAAGAAAAAAAAAACTTGTCTTCTATTATTATTATTTTTTTTTTGTGTATAATTATTTTTTAATTCAATAAATATTAAAAATAAGAGATGAAATCATCCCCGTGAAATAGAATAATTAATATTTTATCCACTGGATGGCAAGACCATGATCTCTTTTGTCACAAAAAAGAGTCAAATAAGTTTATGACTTGTCTTTTAGCATAAGGAGTGATCTATAAAAATTTTCGATTTCAAGAGACAAAATTATGTAAATTATTGTTGAGTTATACTCGATTAAAAAAAAATATATAAATCTATTAATCATGAAATAAACCATTAATCTTATTAACCAATTTTAAATTTTAAAATCTATTAAACACAAATTTAAAAGGGAAACCGAAGATAGAGGAGGGATCTCCCCAACATGAAAGACAATGGGGTATGCAACTCGACAGGGCAATGTGTGTGATCCACTGTTCATATTTATTGAGAAAGCTCCTCGTTTGCAGTCGGACGTGTTGGCTAAATACTATATATCGTCTTCACCGGTGACGTTCAATCTGAAAGCTTTCGACTGTGTAAAGTCTACACAGATAGCAAGTTTTGGTTTGTAGATTCCTTCTGTTGTTCGCTTTCATTCGTGAGCCTGAAGTCTGTTCATTCTATCATCGCATAATTATTACTCCCTTCTAGGACCTTTGTCTGCAACCTGTTTGTAGAAATGCTCATGTGAAATTCCTGCCCCGTGTTTCACGCCCATTTCTATTGAAAAATCCAAAATGGCTTCCACCTTATTCGTACTCAATTCATTCAAAAGTTTAGACGAATATTGAGACTTGAAATGGTATGATAATGCCATGAAACGAAGTTCAGATACCATTGAACCTTACAGAAAATGGTTAAAACATAGCTTCAAGTTGTCCATACTTACCATGTGAGTCGAATGCCCATTGATTTAACACAACCAACTTCACCATTCAAAGGGGCCTATAGAGATTATTAGCCAATTGCTTGCAATGACCATCTTGGATTTCTTGAACCGAGGAATTTGATCCTCGGAGAGCATACGCTAAGCGTGTGCGCAGGCTTAAGGAGGTCGCTGCGAGAATCATGTCATGAAATAAAAAGGCTCCACATTGCTTACACGATGATCCTGTAACCAAAGAGAAGGGGGGACAGTACTAATAAAAACGAGAAGCTCCACGAATCGCATAGGTTAACATCTGTGTGTCCTCCAGAATACATAAACTACACCTACAATACATCAACAAGACTAACGAGGGGCTGGCTGGCTTGATATAACCTGATCGAACACCATCCATCCATCCATCCACAATGGTTCCATTATTACGTTGAGGAAGGGCCCGCCATGGAACTCACCTTCTTGAGGAGGCCTTCAATATCGCTCTCCAATTTGGCTCTCATGTCTGGGGAGAGATTGTCTCCTGACTTCTCCAACATTGACGTCATCATCTGAAGATTCTTCCTTATAAACTCTATAGGCGGTGTCTCACCTGCTTGATTTCCTAATTCACCTGATTTTGATGGGTTCAGAGTGCCCTCAGAAGCTGGATACGCCAGTGCCGTGCAAGCCCGATCTGATTCCGACGTCTTGGGGGGAACCGAGAGATGATAGAGCTGATATTTTAAAAGAGTTGGGCCAAAAATGTTGTTCTTCTTTAAACTCCGAACTGCTTCCATGGCGTCGGCGCTTCGGAGGAAAACTATCTCAACAGTGGAATCTTTGAACTGAAACTCTGATTCCTTCAATGATCCAAACTGGCTAAACGTACTAATAACTTGCTCCCGGGGAGGTAAGGGAGCTTCTGAAGAGAAAGTTAAAAGAAGAAGAGATCCTAAGCCTCCACCATCAGTTTCGACTCTGTTATAAATATATGATCTGCTGTCAGAAGGATTTGGATGGTTCAAACTAGCTTCACCTTTTCTCCTCCTCCTCCTCCTCTTAGGTTTAGTCAATTGGGAATCTTTTCCCTGACTAATGTCAATACCCATTCGATTTAAATCAGGTATATCAGAGGATGAGATAACCTTCTCCTTCCTCTTTCGCTTTTTGCCCCCAGTCTTGCTCTGATCTTGGCCAATTGTCTGATAATTCACTGACTGGTTAGGCGCTCCTGCAAAATCCACTTTATTTTGCTCTACAATTACATCAAGTGGTTGTGGAGCTGTGACCTGTAGATCAATGAAAAACGAACCAGGTTTATTGCTGTTATTCACATCCATGAATTCAGTAGACACCTTCGAATGCTCCTTAGTAGCTCCAAGTTTCCTTCTCTTCTTTGGCTCAGACTTTTGTTGGGAGACGACATGGCTCACAGCCTGCCGATTATCCACCAACACGCCAGATACGGTACCGCTTCCATTTAAATCTGGTATCTCCATTGTTGGTTTACTCTGGGGATGTGATTCATTGTTCTTTCGCTTCCTCCGCTTCGATATTCCATTGGGTGAGAGAGGTTCGAGCTCTGGTGAATCTATGTTAATGTTCACATCTGACAAGGCAGAAAGGGATTTAGTCTTCAATTTCCCCAAGCTATCTCCATCTTTTTTTGACTTAACATTGGAAGTCAGACGGCTTTTTTTCTGTGCATCTCCTGCAGGACATATATCAGGTTGTCCAGTCAAACCCACATCACCAGAGATTAGTTCGGATTTCATTGCCTGACCTTTTCTTTTCTTGATCCCAGATTTAGGCGTCGAGGAAGGATGCTTAACCTCCGACACCTTTCCCCCAAGAAAAAATAAATCGGCAGCCATTGCCTCATTTTGGCCACCATTGACAGATTCATCATGAAACATCAAAATTCTAAACCTGGAGAAGAACTGCGCAACCGCATCAAAGTTGCTGATTTCGTTTGGATAAAGACAATCTACAGCAGTAAAATGAAGCTCAGTGAGAAACTCAGCTGGTGATGCACTCATCAAGTCTTGATTATCAGCGACATCGCTCCCACTGGTGATATTCCGGTACCACTTCTTCCAGAACTTGCCACTGCATTTAGATAGCAATGGGGTTTCATTCTGGCCCTCGACTGCATATTCATCCGCATCTTCGCCAGAAATTTTAAGAGCTCTAATATCATCTGTTTCAGCTGGCATAACTTTCTGCCCCCAGTTTATATATGGAAAAGATAAATACTTGCTCTTCTTCCGCTCTCGTGTCTCGGACCTCTTTTCCGACGTTCCTTTGCTCTCATCATCGAAGTTTTCTACACCAGAATCCTTAATTTCATCTGTTAATGGATTGATCACCTCTCCCTTGATTGAGGAATCCATTTCACTAGATTCAAAATCTTCAATTTTTTCATGTCCTTTTCTCTTTGCAGATTTTGGTTCTATTCCTCCATTAGAAATTGCCATTCTTCTGGAGCTCCTTTTCCTAGCTTCCATGCTTCCATCTAGAACCTTGTTAGGATCTTCATTCTTCCCTTCCATCTTTTCGCACAGAACATCTGATCCTATAGATGGTGTCTCTAATGGCGAGCTCTGTGTGCCCCCTTCTACCTGTTCTTCGTCTGCAACTGTAACACCAACTTTGCTTTTTCTCACTGATTTGCCCACCTCATTGTCTTCATCATCATGAGATTCCCTGAGTTGATGCAAAGGTAACTGCTGGTGCCCTATTGAGCTTTGAAAAGCTGCTAATTGATTGTATAGGATACTCAACTCAAACGCTCCACATAGGGAAACAGTCTCTGCAAGACCCTTAACACGTGCTAGGAATGTTTCGGGTTCATACTGAGCAATAGAATATTTAGCAAGTAGACTAGACTTGCGCCCACGCAGGGAAGTTGTATCCTTTGATTCACCATTACCTTCTAAAGGGTAATTTCGTTCTGGAATACACGAACACGACATCTCCAACTTCACACACCTACCAAACTCATCCACGGCTTTCTCTACGGCTCCGAGGAAGCTTCGAGACTTGGATTTCCCAGACATTTGCTCAAAGTTATCAGCGAAGGGTATCAACTGAGATGGAGAGCACCATGTCATGTGGCTGCTTCCAAAATAGCCAACTAATAGACTATCATCCCGGCTACTTATGTCACTCTCTGCTGCATCCAAAGGATATATCTTCCCAGGCCACCATGTCTGACTTTTCGTCTTGACCCATATCACATCACCAACCGAAAATTTGTGCTCTTGACCATTTTCAATAACCTGTTTTTCATCTCCAGCTTCTTTCGACATTTTTTCTGTTCCGATCGACTTGGAAGGTTCTGGTTCTTCCTGCTGAACGTTCGAGAAGTCCACTGCAAGTGGCATACCATCTCCGGGGACTTCCGAATTCTCACCTGTAGACACACCATCTAATTCCACAGTGTTGCCTTCTTTCTGGTCATTCTCAGCCTCACCACCATTACCACCGTCTGCTTCAGCATCACCTGCTGCAACCACACCAGCATCCAAAATTTCTCTCTCAGAACCATCTATTCTCTTCTCATCTTCCTCATTCCTGAATTCGACATTGCTAATCTCAGCCTCGTTACTGCAATCACTAACCGCTACGCCATTTTCAGCTACCAGAATCTCCGCCGTTAATCCCGCACTCAAATCAGCCAACCCAGAAAACCCCGAAATATCCTCGCTAGTTTCAATCGCAGGACTTTGAACTTTTAGGGTTTCTGGGGTTTTGGGGTCTTCCATTCCTACTCTAACCACGTCTTCCCCAAATCATCAAAACCACACCATCAATGAAGCTGACGAAGTGAAAACATTAAGGGGAAAAAGAAAACCATAAGCATTACAACACTGATTACAAAAAACGATCAAACAAACCTATTCTCCAATAAACAATACCTCAAAAACAACCAAACAACAAACTCCAGCAGCAAAAACACAGAGTGGGAAACAAAAGAACAAAACAGAAAGAGAGATTCCAAGACGAATAACAAAATAGCCGATTTGAAAACGCAATTTACAGAGATCAAACTCACCCGAGTAGAAACCTAAAGGAGAGATATTACGGGATTATCACAGCGAGGCCTTCAAAGTGTGTGAGAGAGAGAGAGAGAATATTTGCATAATAATTGTGAAAGCGGGAAGACAAAGAAAGGGAAATCGTGAAGAAAGAAAGCATACAAATCTTACTTGCAGGCGCTGAAAAGCTTGGAAAAAGGCCGAGGATTCCACAATTACGGTGACAGAGAAAGGCTTATGAACAAGTAATTAGTTTAATCTAATCTAATTTCATTCAATTTAAAGCCACTACTCATTCTCTTCGCCTCCACCGCGCCGACTTCAAATCCATCCCAACAAGACTCGCCTTCTTCATCCTTCATTCTTTTTTTCCCCAAATAATAATACTAATAAAGCTTTTTTTTCTTCTTATATATATATATATTTGGAATCAAGGTCTAATTATGGAATACAAATTGACCTATGACAACTCGATCCTAGAACTTGATCAACTCGAGTATATCTAAGCGGATAACGACACTGTCGTCACGTGTTAATTAAGTAACGCTTAAAACGGATAACGTCATTTCCAAGATAGTATTAAAATATTATGTAAGTATTTGTTTTTTAATTTGTTTAATTAACTTGTAATTGACATTTATCTAAAATGAGTCAAATAAACCAAACAACACTAGGTTTAGATAAGCAGGCCGTAAGGGGAAAAAAAGGAAAGAGAATTAAGACGGCATTGTTTATTCATGGCAGTTGATGTTGAGACATCAATTTTAATGAAAATATCATAATTTATTATCAACAATTATTCGTAAGTTCTTGTTATATGCAGTGAAGTGATTTGTCATGGACATGGTTCCAACTTTAGTTACAAATGTTTCCTTTAATCATCTGATTGTTCATCATGGCAAGCTGCAATGAACCGAACAAAATAGTTTTGTATAGATTATTTGATAGAAGTCTTGAAGTTGGAAGAACAGATTACCAAATCAGCATCTTTAGCTGCAGCAGACAACTTGGAGCTGACCTGCCTTAGATCTATACGTGGACTACCACGCTCCGTTGTTTAAGTTAGGAGTGCGACCCTCGTTTTCTTGACTGTTAGTATTGTACTGTGTTCTCCAATGAGCTCCGTGTGGTATTGATGGACAGATTCCGGAGAGGGAATGCTAGAACATCTTACGGCGACTCATCACACCAACTTCTGAAGTCAAGTTCGATTACCACCCAAGGCCTCTGCATCGAATGTTTGCAGCAAGAACACCTTCAATTAGTGAATTGTAGTGTAGCTTACTGCAAATTAAGTGGTATGTTTGATGAACACAAAGTTGTTCGCCAAAATGCACGCTAGGCGACTTCTATTCTATCCAAACCAAACCAAGAAAGGTACAAAGTTCTAAAGTCTCGCACTGACATAATATGCGTACTTTTAAGACGAAGAGGCAAAACTTGTTGTTCGATGGCAGGGAGCTGCCATGCATGGAGAACCTCCTAACGTTTTACCAATAACTCCCCAACCACTGCTGCTATATAATTTGCATCCTCGTTTAACTTGTCGGTAAAGCTGCTTTGCTACTGAGATCAAAAGCATAACTTTGAAACAATTGTAAGAGACAGAATGCCCTGCCTGCCCCTAACTATATTATAAATCCATTTTCAAGAAGTACGGAATGTCAGTGATGATCATACATTAGAAGCTCTGTTAGCGAATCAGGCTTCAAAAACTAATAGCCAATCAGCCATATGATCATAATGATCATAATCAGTCCCTCCAAGCACTGTAACATCTAACCTGTTTATATGGCTCCACTCGCACACAAAGATACACAATGTAGAACATAATTGTTAATAAAAACAGAACAGTCAACACCTATTTCAAATGCCTTGCTGCGAGCATAAAAAAGAATCTACAAAAAAAGTTGAAAAATCATCCCAAAGAGACTAGAAATCTAATTAACAAAACATTACTTACCCAATCAAAAGGTCACATCAATTCTCCCACTTTTTACAGGGTTTTATATAACATATACCAAAGTCGGCTTTATAAAGATAGAAATGAAAACAGCAATCTAAATCAGTAAGCTGTTAATGTACATACAATCAGTGAAATAGGCACGGCAACATCATTGGACTTTCAAACGTGGGATTGAAGAACCAAGAATCCAACCGTCCAACACTTTCACCCACTTCACCCAGGAAGGGGAAATCGGTGAAACACAATTTAAAGTAAAATATGGTGATACTTATGATTGACATCCTATATAAAAAACTGGAAAGAGAACTCGCACCTTGGACAGGAGATTTTGACTATAGCAGTTTTTACATCATTTACAATCATTAGTTAGCTAAGCACTTGAAGCCTTTTCCACTGGAGGGGAGTCAGCACCATCCACCAACTTAGCACGCTTCGCTTCATAATCTTTAACAGCGGCCTTGATAGCATCTTCAGCAAGCATGCTGCAGTGCAATTTAACAGGCGGTAGGGAGAGATGCTTTGCGATTTCCCTGCAGAATTGGTATACACCCACGTTATTTCACAAGTTAAAACCTCAAAGCCAAAAGGGCTTGTTAGCAATAATGCAATCATCGAATTGGAGACTCGAAATTCAAAAATATCCAAGAGGAGAATTGTGCACAGAAAGAATGAGAGGGAGGAAAACCAAGTTGATACCATTATTTTTACATCATTAACAACTTTTTCAAAGGGTCTTCAGGGCATTTAAACTGCAAGCTTGTTTTAGTTCGTGATCCTAAACCTGCTAACTAATGACACGACTGCCTGCCTTAACATGCAAGTAAGAAAATATGGGATCCTTCACCGAAGCTAAATACCAACTGAAATACACGTCATTCAGTGCACAAGAAAACTATAGTTGTTACATGTTTGTTGTTCAATCAATAGAAACAAAAATTCAAATTTAGAGGCATAAGCTGTAGATAGAAATCAAATTTTAAGATGGTCAGTAGTGGATGTTCGCAAATAACCCAAATCAAATGAATAATGTATGGAAAACATGTTGAACAAGAATGAGATGAAAAGGTTAAAAATGAATGTTAACTTACGAATTTTTAATGGTTAAGGCTTCTTCCATTTGCTTCCCTTTCACCATTTCTGTAGCTGCAGGTTCAAAATCCACATATCAATGAAGGTTTATCTACACATATGATCTGATCAGGACCAAAAGATTCACGATTCACCTCCAATTCAAAAAGACAAGGGCCTAACACCTCAAAACTCATTTAGGAGGACATAGATACAATTTACTGTTAACTCCATAAAAGTACTTAGAACTTGTAAAGAACAAATACACGGGCAGAATACGGAGAGAGATAAACCACTCTATCCCATATGTAATAAAAAAATAATAATAAATAAATAAATAAATAAACCTTGGGAGAACCACATTAGATTTTACTCCAAGTGAAGGCTCACAAAGAGACCAAGATTTTAATTTTGCATATTCCGAACAATAAAGAAAGAGAGAGTGGCACTCCCACCGGCCTTGGGGGAACCACGTTAGATGATCATGACAGGATTTCCAAAGGCCATGGAGATTGACAAACAATGGGAATCCCTATGGTGACGTTTCTCATGAAAACTTCAATAGTATTTTTGTCCCATTCAAAAAAACTCAGCACCCATTTATACAAAAGCCAGGCTACACAGATTCTCAAGCCGGTAACTGTAAGCAATTTATCCCAAAGGTTCCAATTGAAGCCCAGATATCAAGTCCGCAACAACGATATAAAAGAAAGGTACGACGTTTAAAAGCCCACCCCTTTATCCTTAAGAATAGTACAGCGATAAAATATCACAAATACATAAACAGAAAATAAAACAAATCCACCATAACAACGACAATTCAAAAAACTCAAGAAATACATTAATTCACAAAATCCTGGACTAAAAAAAAAAATGACGCGTTCTCGAAGGATTAAAATATCAGAATTGCGCTTAACATCTCCCAGGAACAAAAATCAAGGATAAAAATAAGAAAACGAACCCAACGACGAGGAAGCAATCGCCGAACCGCAGCCGAACGTCTTGAAGCAAGCATCAACAACCTTACCAGTCTTCTCATCAACCTTGATCTGAAGCTTCATAACATCGCCACAGGCAGGCGCACCGACGAGGCCAGTGCCGACCGTCGGATCGTTCTTATCAAACGATCCAACATTTCGAGGGTTGTTGTAGTGATCAATAACCCTCTCATGATAGAAACGCGGAACGACTTGAACCGCCGGTGCCGCCATATTCCCCGACGCAATCCCTAGAAGCCTCTTCGAACTGAACCTCAACATATTCACCGCTTTCGTTCTCCCCTGGAGTTCCGTAGTCTGATTCTTTATTGCTTTTTCTTATCTGCAGCGATTACATAGAACAATCAGAAATTTGGCTTTATATACCCTCTTGCGATAATGGCGGTGCTCTGTTATCCCGTAACACGTGGACGGTCGAGATGAATTGGAATTTCATCCTCCTTTCGCGATATCTTCGAATCTTTTCTCACGTGATGGAGGTTAAAATATCTTGGGCTTAATTAAGTGGGCCTAACTATGAAATCTTTTACATATGGGCCTAAATGGGCCGAGTTCAATTAACCACTTATCCAATCAAAAAATTCGGCCCGTTTTCAAATAAAACCCTAAAATATTTCATATTTAACCCTAATGCAAAATTATGTTTCACTTTTACCCCTTATTTGTTGGTATTCATAATGTATACCATAACGCTTGTATCGTTGTTGGGATATTTGGAGAATAAAATTAATGTAGGGGTATTTATGAAAATAGCTTGAATTTGAGGACTTCAATGCAAATTTCTTTTTCATGCAAAACAAAATGGAAAGATACGAGTGGCAGGGTCCCACAAGTTATGCATGATTGGGTGAAAGACCAAGCTCATAAAATCATTGTCTATTGAAAATAAAGTTAAATTCTTCTATTTATTAAAAAAAAAACACATTTTTTCATCATGAGAAGTGGAATTTTGCCGGGATCAATTTGCTGTCTTCCCTCAGCGTTTTTTATTGTCCGTTTTGGCCCGTTACGTATCGCCGTCAGCCTCATGATTTTAAAACGTGTTCACTAGGGAGAGATTCTCACACCCTTATAAGAAAGGCTTCGTTCACTTCTCCAACCGAAGTGAGATCTTACATATTCTTTCTCTCGTTTTGCAAACTGTTATCAAAATAAAAAAGATACTATCTAGCTCCACGGCACGACGATACTCGGCAATGACATTAAAAATTAAAGGGTCACCAAATTACAATCAATCTTTGTCATTGGATGAGTTGGGGGCACTACACAATAATGGCAATGTAATAGCATTTGTGAATGGAAGACCATACATCTTTAACAAATTAAAGCTCCCTTGTAAATGAAAAAGCAAAGAAAAATCATTAGCTCAAGCTTGGAAGACTCCTCTTTTCTCCTCATTGATTTGATAGCACCCTTCACCTTTATGCATTATTAAAGACCATATCCCCTAACATCCACTACCCATTTCTTTCTTTCTTTATAGCGTTCGTGTTCATGTTCGTGTTCGAATAAGATTAGTTTCGGCGATTTAATTGATAAAGACCAATTGATGTAAAAATTATATCGAGAATTCGAGCTTTTCTAGACGTTCTTACTTTTAAAAAACTACAAGCTGTAATGGAATAAACTAAAAACAAATAAATAATTTGTTGAGAATCAAATTGATTGTCGGGATGGAATCAACTAAAGGAGGACAGGTCATCTACCTTAGTCAAAATGTTTTCCATTCTAAAGTTTTTGGATGTATTCTCGACTTCTATTTTTCTATCACCATTTTTCGAGTCAAAAAGTAAGTTGGTCAGTAATGATTTCAAATAAATAAAATCAATATCAATATTAATTAATGATGTCATAAAGTGGCTTGATACGGTCAGTAATTATAATATAGCATGCTTCTGTTCTTGTAACTAGATTGACGTTTTGAGTAGCTAAAAAAGCCACCGAAAAATTATTTCTCAAAGTCAATATTGCTAATTCTTGAACTTCTTCGAGTAGTTCAGTAATCCTAATCGTCTTTTTCAATTATCGGTATTGACCTAATTACGTATCGTGATCTTTTATACATATTTATATAATTGGGATAAACGTGAACGCTGGTAGTTGATTTTTTTTCTTTTTCTTCTTTCTTTAAAAAGTTAATTTACACCGAACGAATTCAAACAAAACGTGACTTGCAAATCAATGGACACAAGAGGCCAAGATGAACATAAATCACATCGGCATTCAAACACTCATTTAGGCTTTTGCTTTTGGCATTGCATCAATATATGGCAATAAAATTAAAATTCCACTAAAATGAAATAATACGATTGTCTCCACTTTTGTACCAATGAATTATTGGCTATTATTTACTCAATTTTTCTTTTCTTTCAAATATTCACATAATGTTACTTTTTTTTTAAATACTTAAAAATGATTTTTATCGACCAAAACTATAGTCGCTCTCGTTTGAAAATTACATTAAGTTTGTGATCTCACATCGACCGTCCATGACTCGATGTTATCGTATAAATGTAAGTTGACCATTAGAAAGAATCTAAATTATTTTAAAAATTAGGGTTTTTTTTTTTTTTTTTGCAAATGGGTTCCATGCACGTAAACCTAACTATTGACCTAAACTTTGGTCATTATCTCTATTTTAACAATATTCTCCATCTTCCCTGTGTCCTCTTTCCTCTCCATACTTAGGGTATAATTAAAGAGGTAGCTTTTGTCCATTGCTTGCTGCCCCTCTTGTTTTCTTTATTTGCAAGGCCTAATATTAGGAAAAAAATAATAATAATTTAAAAGTTTAGACATTATTTAAGGCTCAAAGTAGACAATATCTACTAGCGGTGGGCTTAGGCTGTTACAGTGGTTGTCGTGAGAATATGATAACATTTTTTTAAATTCAAACGTGGAGAGTCGAAAAAAATCTCGTAATTGAGAATT